TATATATATATATATATATATATATATATATATATATATATATATATGAGCTATCTGCATAAAAGGGCATTCTGTCTTGTTCTGAAATAGTGGGGAGGGCAACAAGCAGCAAGATTAGCTACCTTTCACTGTATGCATACATGGTGTCAGGATCCCAATTCTTGTTAATGCTGGGGGGGAGGGGGACTTGTGTATCCCAGGATGGTCTCACGCTCACTATGTAAGTGAAAATAATCTCAAGCCTCTGACCCTGATCCCCCTTCCTGTAGTCCAGAATGCTCAAATTATATGCCTGCACCATGATGCCCGGCTTACGTGGTACTAGGAACTGAATCCAGGCCTTCATGCACAGCGGGTAGGAACTCAGCCAGCTGAGCTACACTGCTGTCCCCAGCTCTCTCCCAGCCAGGTTTAACAACCACACTGTGCTGTGGGTATCATTACCACCACTTCCGTTTCATAGGCAATGAAGCACTTCTCGAGAAACTGAAACATCAGCATCCACAAAAGGGCAGGGCTAGGACTGGAGCCCCAGTTGCTGGAGGCCAGTTTCTGCCCATCCTATGTGACTGTGCTCCCCAACACATGGCTAAGAAGCAGCACAAGTTGGACGTGGGAGGAATGCAAGGTCTTTCCGCATCCCAGCACAGCAGATGGAGTGAGGGAAAGCTGACAGGATAATGCTATCAGTCATCCTGTCTTCTCTCCCTCCATCCTGACCAAAGCTTTGTAACCGTGCTGGAAAATAAGGCCCTAGGCAGACTACAAACATCTAAGCAATTTAGCAATGGAGGGAGAATGGTGAAATGGAAGTCTCTGATTTAGAATGGTGGTGATGTGCCCAGTCAATGCTGAGAAAGAGTCTCAGTCCCTGGCTACCATAGAACAGTGACAGTGTATGAAGGAATGTGGCTGGTACCTGGGCTTGACAAGAAACAGGTACTACAATATTTCTTTTTCCTCCCTTATTCTCAGTTCCCATTGGAAAACACAGCAGACAGCTCACGGCTACACACTGCCTGGTTTCCCTCCCTACAGAAAAAAATCCCATTCATGACGCCTCTCCATGCTCTGTGGAGAGCACCAACCTTTCATCTGCCCTCTGCTGACATGAAGCTGGACAGTGGTTCTCAACCCTCCTAATGCTGGGACCCTTTAATGCAGTTCCTCACGTTGTGTTGACCCCAACCGTAAAATTATTTCCATTGCTACTTCATGACTGTAACTTTGCTACGGTTAGGAATCATAACGTAAAATTTTTGGAGATAAAAGTTTATCAGAGGAGTTGTGACCCACAGGTTGAGGACCACTGGGCTAGGTAAAAAAAGTTTCCTGTGTTCAATGTGCCGTAACACTACCACTTGATCTATATAGTGAGTTCCAGCAAAAACCACACAGTGAGGCCCTGTCTCAAAAAAAATTTCAGTTAAAACAAACCTACAAGCAAGCAATAATAAAGAATTAATAACTTTTAAAAACCCTCCATCAAAGCCTTTGATGAAGTTCAAATCAAACTAGTAGTGTGTGTGCATACATTCGTGTGTGTGTGTGTGTGTGTGTGTGTGTGTGTGTGTGTGTGTGTGTGTTAAATAAGGCAGTCTGAGTAAGTTCTTATTTTCAGGCCCATAAGAAGAAGCTGACTTAAAAGTAACCCTGCTGTAGAGCCAAGGTGTGGGGTACAAGCCTGTAATCTTACCTAGGACTGGGGAGGCTGAGATACAAGGATCGAGGCTGGCCTGAGCTACACTGTATGTCTCAAAAACAAAACAACAAAGTAAACCAGATTTAGTGAAAAGTTCCCAGTTGTAAGATACTTGCTTTGCTGTAGGAGTCCTCGGCTGGGTGCAAACTGCCATTCTTTGAAGTCTAAGCATTACTCATTTCCTAACACTTTCTTCAGAACTACACTGCAATCCGCTCACATCAACCTAAACTACAGGCTTCAAGAAACTACTAAGTGCTCGCCCTTAAACATGTTCAGGACAGCTTCTAGGACCGCTTGTCCGCACTCACTGGGCAAACCAGCTCGCTCCCAAGGAAACCCAGGCTCCTTCCACCGCAGCAAGACGGCTAGGCTGAGTTAATATTTTCAAAGACAAACAAAAATTAACGGAACACACCTGTTTCCCCTTCCATTCTTCCGTATTTAAAAAAAAAAAATCCCTCTATTTTCTTCTTACTAGAGCAATTCTTAACAAATAGGCTCTCTTAAAAAGCATCAGGAACTCATTTCCAAGACTGGGGTTTTAGAAGGAGAGGAAGATCAGAGTTTGGGCTGAAATGTTTAAGTTCCTGTACAGAGCGACAATTACACTACAGTGTCTCGAAGTAACAAAAGCACGGGGAATGCCGAGGGATACAAAGCCGAGCGCCACACAAGGGCCCAGCAAGGGTTAAGCCGGCTGTGCTCGGGTCACAAAGGCTACCCGAGCAGCGTGCGAGCCGGAGTCCCGACCCTGCAAGCGCCAGGCTCGCTCCTGCCTCTGATGCACCGGTCCCCTGAGCCAGTACGCGGTGGGGAACCAAGCGACAGCTCTCGAGAGCGGCAGAGAAACACTGGGCGCTCCACGGAGGGCAGAAAGTGAGTAGGACTGCAGTCCCGAGGAGGGAAGGGACAGCGCGGAGGGGGATGGGGTGAGGAGGAGGATGGGGCCAAGGCGCCGGGCGCCGGCTGCAGGGGAAGCCCTGGGAGGCTAAGGGGAGCAGGGAAGAGAGCAGCCGCAGGTCGCGAGGGGGGCGCCCGGGGCGCGCAGTGCGGGCGGAGAGCCGGGAGAGCGGTTGTCACCTGTATTGTTTGAAAAGCTGATCCGACTCCCTGAAGCCGTTGTTGAGCAGCATGTTGATGCCAGCCAGGGCCAGCTCCGCGTCCTGCAGGGGCGCCGCCGCCGCCGCCTCCGAATCGTCGTCCCTCCGCCGCGGCCGCTGCTGCTCCGAGCCGGCCATGGGCGCGCGAGGCCCCGCGCGGGCCGAGGCGAGGTGCGGGAGGCGGCTGCAGCGGCCCGCGCTCCCCGAGCCCCGCTCCGACCTGCGGGGCGCCGAGCTCAGCAGCCGGCAGGGGGCGGGGAGGGACGCGGAGGCGGAGGCGGAGCCGCCGCCCGGCTGCGGCGCGGGGAACGTGGGCGCCCGGCCGCCCCCACCCGCCGCCCGGGATTACTCAGCAGCCGGCTCGCGGCCACCCCAGCCGTTTCGGATGCCTGCGCCCGCTTCGATCCGACCGGTCCCGAGCCGCCTCCGCTTCCTGCAGCCCCTCCGGGTCCCGGAACCGGCCCCAGAGGCCCCCGGGCTACAGCCCAGGCTGCCGACACCCACGTGAGGCCCCAAGGCCCAGTCCTCCCGGGGTTGGATGAGGCTTGGACGCACTGGAGAGGCGGGAGAGCTTGACTCGGGGTCAGAGAACTCCTGGTCCGCTGCGACAGAGCGCGGCTGGACACCAGGGTGGCTTCTGCTTGGACCACGAATGTCAGAACCCTGGGGAATCCGGCGACAGTGGCCCCCAACTTCGGCCAGACCCGGGCCGCCCACCAGGCCCAAGGCAGCCAATCCCCGAGAAGGTGGGCGGTGGGGGCGTGGCCTCCAGCTCCTGGACCACTTGCTAGGGCCCTCCACCTTTATATACCAGACACAAGGGTCCATATGCCACATAGCTAAATATTTGAAAGTTAAAAAGTAAGCTGTTAAGGTGAGTTCTCTTAGCACCTTGACGACTATACTTCCATGCTAGTGAAACAGAAAAGCTGTGTTGTTTGTTTTTTTTTTTTAAATGTAAGTAAATGTCAGCAAAATACCAAAGGTGATAATTTAATCAGTTAATCTCACTTTTCTGAGGGTGAGCTGGTGGTGTCTGCATGCACCGTTTAGACACGAAAGAGAAATCGGTTTATGGGTTTTAAAAATGTTCTCTCCTTCCTGTTAGCAGTCGTTAAACAATACTGTTTCAACTACGATTATGTTAATATCACATTGTCTTTTCTTCCCCACCTTAGCGCTCTTAGAAGAAACTTCCCTGCCTACCATCAAAGACATTCAAACTCAGATCTAGACATGCCCTGGAATAGAACAGCCAACATTACAGTGAGCTAGTACAAATTACCACACGAATGCAACAGTAATTTAAATTCATCGCTGATTAGTTTCACTTTGTTTGTACCATTCCGTACAAGGCGATTTAACTCAGGTTCATCCATGAAATTTAAGAGTAACTCCACCTGCTGTCGTTGCTCAGCTGTTAGACATATCCTTCTCCTTTCTTACAGGATCTCAAGATGCTGCTCAGGCCAGCCTGGAACTCCCAGGCTCAGTCACTCTGCCTGGCCTCCCACCTAGCTAGGACAACAGCTTGTAAAATCATGCTGATTCTTTGAGACATGGTTTTACTCTGTAGCCCTGACTGGCCTTGAACTCACTACAATCCTCCAGCCTCAACCTCAGGACTGCTGTAATTACACAATGAGATAACAAATTCTTGGTAATAGCTGAAACAAAAATCTGGGCACAGGGGTCTTTCCTGAGACTGATACTCCAACAAAGGACCATGCATGGAGATAACCTAGAACCCCTGCTCAGATGTAGCCCACGGCTATTCAGGGTTCCATAGTAATGGGAACAGGGACTGTCTCTGACATGAACTGATTGACCTGTTCTTTGATCACCTCCCCCCGAGGGGGGGGGGCAGCTTTGCCAGGCCTTGCAGCCACTTCTGATGAGACCTGATGGACTAGGATCAGAAGGAAGGAGAGGAGGACCTCCCCTATCAGTGGACTTGGGGAGGGGCATTCCTGCAGAAGGGGGAGGGAGGGTTGGGTTGAGAGAGGAGGAGGAAGAGGGCTACAGGGGGGATACAAAGTGAATAAACTGTAATTAATAAAAATTTTTTTTGAAAAAAAGAAATTGGAATACTAAAATAAAAAATAGTAATAATGCATCTCCACCTGGAAATGGTACCATCTAACTTAGGAATAATGGCATTCATGCTGAGGACTTTAAAAATTGACCCTTTAAAATTTTTTAATCTTGAACGACAGTAACATTAGTCTCAGTTGTCAGCATTGTCACTGGCCTTAATGGCATTCAGACTGCAACCTTGATTTTTCACAGTATTGTAATGACATATTTCCAGGGGACCTGAATGGCATCCTTGAGAAGAATGGGTGCTGACAGCTGCACATCCCACTGAGCCAGTAGAGATCCTGGGACAAAGGAGCCAGAGTTTTCTAATAAATTCATGTGTGGGTGCATTTTTATGGGCAAGCCATCGGGTCTTAGGGACTGTACTGCCCACCAGGTCCACAACAGGCCCGGCCTCAAAGCATGTATGGCATTCAGTGTTGCCTGGACTGTGGACCTGTGGACTATCCACCCCAAGTCCTTGCACAAGCTAGGCAACAAGGGAAGCAAGCCAAGAGGATAAGGTCAAAATTGGGAGATAGCTCCCCTCTCCCACCTCTGCACGGGGACAGAGCACTGCTTTCTGTTGATTTTAGAGCTGAGTGAAAGGGGGACAGGAAAGGAATCTCAAGGAATTTGAAGGAATTTGTGACACAAATTGTATCTGGGGCCCTGCAGCTGATAGGGGCAGCTGTGGGTCTGTCTCAAGGGCCCAACACAGTGGGTTATACAAACCTCAGGGCATTCCTGAATGACTGGGGCAAAATACTGACTGCAGCTGTCCAGCTGCCCAGACAGAGGGAAAAATCCACAGTGTAGCACACCTTAGACATATGCGAAGTGGGATTTAATCAGCTACAAAATGACTGGGCTAGTTTTTGCATTATAGACACTTGAAAACACCTGCTCAGTGGTAAGAGATAAGAAGAGGATTTAAAAGTGATGGCTGGGGCTCAGGAGCGGGGAATGCTTGCTCCCCAAGAAAAACGCTGGAGGGTCAATCCTCAATACCACCCATTCAAAGGTAGTTCCCAAATCCCAAGAGTGTTTATGCAGCTGTGGTTGGCAATGCCACACCTGCCTACCTGTCACCCAGCAGGTGGAGGAGTAGCTTGACGGCTATCATTGATAAATACTGAGAGCAGTTCACAGTGATATTTAAAAGGCCAAGATATATATGGTATGACACTGAAGAAGGGAAATCTGGCTTAGTAATGGTACCAGACTGCTTTACGCTTGGCAATGTGGGGCTCGATGTACTTTCTTGCAAAGCAAAGAGTCTTCAATGCACTTGACTTCACCAGATAGGACTTACCCAAGTATGTCCTCCAGCCCTTGAGGGGATAGGAAGAGAAGGAAAGCTAGAACTGGAGAATCCTGCTTGTTTCTTTTCTACAAATTCCATATGCTATGTTGATGGCCAATATTTTATAGTCCTGCATCTACCCTCCTTATAGAAAGGAAATCAAAGCACTGTTATTTCCTCACACATAGTGTTGTGGTAGTTTTGTTGCAAACAACAGACTCCTGCCTTAGAGAAACAACTTTACTGGTTCATGTTGGGGGTTCCAGTATGAGGCTATACCCAGAGCTCCAACCCAGTGACCAGCACCCAGCTTTTCCCTCCATCCCTCACCTCTGCCATCTGGGTGCTTAGCAGCCCTATTCCAAAGTGCCTACATCGCCAGAGTGTCACTTTCCCGGAGCTGTACAGACAGGGTCCTCCATTCTGTTAGTCTTCCACCAGCCATGCATTTCCATAGCTCCTGGTACGGGAGATACCTGTAAGCTCAGGCAGAATCACATAAAAAAAGAGGGGATTCTGGGACCTAGGTGTGGGACTGGATGGCTGAAACTTCTGGTGAGGGTCCAGTGACCATCGCTTCCCCCTTTTGTGAGGAAATTCCCTTTTAGAGGGCTGCTCTAACTGAGATGCTAACAGCTGTTACAATTGGAAACAGCAGCCTACAAAAGAACCTTAGGAAAACCTTTTGTTTCTGGGTCCTATTAAAACAGTTTTTGGTAAAGCTAACAATAGAAACAGTGTGTCTTTGTTTATCTTTTTGTAAATCTGCAATCAGTTCCTCAACGTCTAGAATTCTAAGGAGAGCAGAAGAACGCAGAGCCTCTTTATTTGGCTGGGGGTGGGGGGAAATGTGTGTGAGCCGTCTCAACTAGAAGGCAAGTCTGTTCTTTTTCTTCTGACAAGTGGTTGTCACTTGCTTGTCTCTGAGGAGGGGAGTGTTAGCCTCAGCGGGTGGACCTGGCTGTTTGTCTAGCTGGATGCATGTCACTCCATCTGCCCTGCAGAGCACAGAAATCATTATAGGGCAGGAAGTCACCCGTTCCAGACACCTCCTTTTGTGCTGCCGCCTGTAAAATTCGCTTTAATTTGCCAATGGTAATTGTCTTGGAAACTTACTGCCTCTGTCTGCTATTCTAGGTTCAGTCTTGGAAGCTTCTAGCCTTCCTACAATCTAATCTAGTCCTAGAATGTTTTCAGCCTCTGAGACTTACTGCTCACCCTTTCTAGCTCCTTCTGAACTCTGGCTGGCTGGTTCAACTCAGCTGCTCTGGCTCAAAACTCCTCTCCAAGCTGCCTGATCCAATCTGGCTTCTCTCTTGGCTTCTGACTAAATTGCTCTGCTTAGCCTCAGGCTAACTCTAGCAATCTGTTCTAATCTTCTGGCTGCTCCTCATTCTCTGGCTCCTCTGTCTTTACTTGTGTCTAGCTTGTTCTCTTCTCTGAAACCTGTATGCAACTGTCCAATTAAAACTGCCTCCCCTCTCTCTGTATCTCTGTTTCTCTCTTTCTCTGTCTCTCTTTCTGTGTCTCTCTCTGCTACTCTCCTTAAATTGCCTCTCTCTCTCCTCCCTATTCCCATGACAGTTGGCTGTATCCTATCTGTCAAATCTTTCTTTGATTAGTCACTTTGTCTGCCTCTTAATTAGAGGTGCTTCCTTCTACAAATTAACTTTACCTTCATTGTTTGGGATTAAAGGTGTGCACTAAGGGCGTGGTGTCTGTATTCCAGCCAGATCATGCTGTAATCCAACCAGGTCACATAGACCTGGAAGGTGTGATCCCTTGCCAGAGCAGCCATGTTTCTGGATTAAAATTCCTCTATAGTCTCCAAAGGGAATACTGAATGGACATCAGAAACGCTTAACAAGGTGTTTCTTAGGAGCCATATTCTACCACTGTAGATTCAGGGAGAAAACTGAAAGAGGACTATGACCTTGCCCCAGCAGGCAAGGTCCCCTCCATAGCTCAATAGCTCAGGCAGGGAATTTCTAACACAAGCAACACAGGTCTGCTGTTATTAATGCAGCCTGAGGAAGAAGTATTTCTTCAGAAAGCATGAAACGTGAAAAATATCTACATTTTCTGGTTCTTCATTTGGATCTGAACAGTCCCTGCTTTCATAATCTATTGACACATTTTTTTTTTTTTAACACAGGAAGGTGTCGTATGTCCCAGGCGGGGCTCAAACCTGTTACGCGGTTGAGGATGACCTGGAACTTCTGACTCTGCATCCTCTGCCTCCTAAGTGCTGGGGTTATAGGACTGTGTCACCCACGCGTTGCAGCGCCATGTGTCTAGCCTCCAGCGATCTGTGTCTAGCCCCATCACTGTTCGGTAAGGAGCAGGTAATATCTGGTATT